AGATAATCCATTTAATCATCTTATTCTTTTCTTCAATTTTCTCCAAACAGTAGTAGAAGTACAATTTGATGGACAGAATAAACAAAATTGTTTTCGACCACACCCAGATTATAGTGATATCTACAGTATAGTCCTGGCTACAAGGGAGCTCAACTCTAACTCGTGAAGTGGGCCTGGTTTAGAAAGTAACGATGAGGTGGTAACTAATGATAGTGCTAGTTGTTATCAAAAATTAACAACTTTAGGTATTTTTGTTTTGGGTTTTTGTGGTTTAGGTGCATCCAAAATTTCTTCATAGTCTGCACTCATTCCCTTTGCCCAGCGACCAACTGTGACCATTCGCTCTGTAAAGGAATAGAAAAATCAGAATATGAGAAAAACAGTAATGAAATGCATCCACTCAAATTGTTACTGGTTTTGGAAAGGAACTCATTTTGACATGAATAATCACAAGGAGGGAAGACTCCATCACTAAAGGAAAGTGAGCAATTCTGTAATTGATTATAACCCTTGATTTCAGAGTACCACAGGCAATTTCTCATCCCAATTAGGGAAATGTAGCAACTACTTTGCAATGCACGAATTGATGAGAAAGCTCTTTCATTCTTTCCCAGAGTTCATCATTACAGAGTCAATGAATTCCAAGAGTCTGTAAACAGCAAGGCTTATGAAGCATCAGTTTTAAATGCATAAGATTCTACCTGTGAAATTATACAACATCTGCTTGTCAGTCTTGTCATTTGGGAAGTGGCAATCCTCCCAGGAGGGAGAATTCAAATTCCACTTCATCATTTCAATCTCACTGCCTACAATGTACTAAAGACTATCTTCTAGACAAGCTTGTAAACAAGAACTCTTGGTTTTCAAATTTAAATGTTAGGGATAGGAAGTAAGAATGAGCAGACTTATTTGTGTAGTGTTGTGACTATGTGAAATAAAAAGAAATGTGCTCTTTCCATAAGAAGCACTGCTGGGCTATCCTACTGTCTTCTTGCCTGCCTTCACACAGGATTATCATCATTCTAGTCCAGGCAAACTAATGTAATAATGATCTCCACTTCCTCAAAAGTCTGCAATAGGTATAGTGAACATCTCTGAAGTTTTTGATGAATAAGGCTGGTATTTCTTCAGGAAGAAAATAGCCAGATTCTGTGTGGATAACACATTTTTAATATTTTTGGTAGTTTCTGCAATCAACTCTGAATCTTTTAGGTACATACAAAGCAAAGCATACATGAGGACACTCGATATTAAGACTATGGAAAGTTATTTCATATTTTTTATTTTCTCTTAGTGAATTCATATTTTTCTTAAGTAACAGAATTGGCTCTATTATATTAAATTCATTAGTTAGCAAATATAAATGCTTATGAATAAGATGTCTTATAAAGTCAGGGTCCCCTAAAGCTTACTGGCCACTTTTTTCCCCACCTATTCAGTTACTCAGTACGATGTGTGTCTGTTGCTGACAGAGATTAAGTGATTGCTACAGTAGGAAAACAGGTCTTAAAATCATTAGCATCCCAATGAGTTATTCATAATAAGTGCAGAATAAAACGCAGAGAAATATTAATCTCACCCCTTCTAAGTAGAGGCCCAGAGATCTCACCTGAATTCTGACTTTCAGGGCAATCTTTCTTTAAATGTTCCACAGAGCCACAAAGTTTGCAGCCGCCACCTATTGAAAGAGCAAAGCCACTGAATACTATCTCATACTTACATGGGGTTTTTAACATCTCAAAGCACTTTCACATCTTACTGGATCCTCACAACCTTGTCAGTTGTAAAGGTAGCTAGACCAGGAACATAGGGAGGTGCCACTATTCCTATTACGAATTCATTCTCCATTCCTTTTAACCTCACAGGGCAGTAAATTGTACCCACCCACTGCTTCTTGCACCTGGCCTTGAGAAGTAGGAAAGAGAAATGAGTTATGATGGAAGGCACTTGTTCAAGAGCTATTGCACAGAAGCCTGGATCTTAATGCTTAGACAGTCAAGAGTCTGTGAACCCTTGGACCTGTAAATAAAAGTTGTAAGCAGATGCTCTTTCCTGAATAGCATGTCAGATTCTCCGTCAATGGCCCCAAAACAGATTAGAAACTACTATTCTACTGTACAGATCAGATGGGGGTAAGCATTTACAAAAGAAATAAAGTTAATTTTTGTTTCAGTGCCTTCCATTGGCCAGGCACCCTAACCCTTTAAAAATGCCCATCTGCCTACTTTAAACATTTCAGAATTGTGAATCACAACACACGTGCTTTCTAAAATAAGTCTTTCACTTAATGATCAAACACTGTTGCTTAATGGTCAAGCATTATCTTGATCATGCTTGAAATGTTAAGTGACTTAGAAAAATGACCTAATCAGATACAAAGATACAAATCTGGCTGAATTTTCTTTTTTCCCCAATTCTTGACTTTATTTTCAATATAAAAAATGCAAATTTGGAAACCCACCCTACTTTTCCCCCAGCATAATGCTTTACCTCTTAAAAACAAAGTACTAATTCTATATACATCAAA